CTAAAGGGTGTAGGAGAACATCATCTTCTATGTCCTATCTGACCTTGGCTTCTTCAGATCTTGTATCAGTGCGCTCCTTTTCTGAATCTTCCGGGTTGAGTTTTGATGGGCTTTCTCCTTTGTCTTCACACTTCTTTGTTTCAGAATTGGTACCAGATTGATGTGAGTTCTTCGTCGCCAGTAGACAAGTCCAGCTGTGCTTCGACCATAGTTGTTTCTTGAGTGAGGATTTTCCATTCCGGTGATTTGGAAGAGCAAGCTAGCTTCGACTTAACATTTTGCCTTTCAGATCTGTTTGATTGTGAGGTGACCAAATTTTGAAACTAGGGCTTTTGAGAGACTTTTATCCTTGGTAATGGTAAGGGGGTGCTTTGGTTTACAAAACGTGGTTAGGGACGCTTCAAAACCCGTGCATTCGCATTTAAAGAAGTGACGGCTTGTGCTTATTCCCCTTTTCAAATTCAGCAAATTTAAAATATTGAGCACATTAGCTGACAATTTGTGCTCAAGTTTATTTTGCATGTTTATTGGAACGGTGCGCACAGACCCAAATTGGATTTGAGGATCTCGATTCTTTCTCCGTCAAGTGCTTCAGTAAATATATCAGCTAACTGATGCTCAACAGGAATGTATTCAATGTGCTTGGTACGTGAGTGTAGTACTGGGTTTTTTGATATATTAATGGCACTTGTGTTGTCGCACTAAAGAGGAATAGTGTCATGCTTAATTCCATAATCTATTAGCATTGACTTCATCCACAGAAGTTGTGGACCACAGCTCCCGGCAGCAATGTATTCAGCTTCTGCAGTAGAAAGAGAGACAGAATTTTGTTTTTTTTGCTAAACCATGCTACCAAATTGCCTGCCAGATAGAAGCATCCTCCAGAAGTGCTTTTGCGATCGTCAATGTTACCTTCCCAGTCTGCGTCACTATATGTCATAAGATGTGCTAGAACACCTTTAGAATACCAGAGACCCATGTTATGTGTGCCCTTGATATATTTCAGTATTCTCTTTACTGCCTTCAGATGTGATTCTTTAGGCTTAGCTTGATTCTGTAGCATATGTCAGGTCTGCTGGCAGTGAGATATAATAGACTTCCAATGATCCCTCTATAGTAGGTGGCATCAATGTCTTTTCCACTATCATCCAGCTGATCTTTTCATGTGTTGGACATGGTGTTCTGGAACTTTTACAGTCATTCATTTCAAACTTCTTCAGCATGTTCTGCGCATATTTATTTTGTGAAATGAAAATGCCATCATTGGTTTGCTTGACTTGGAGCCCCGGAAAGTAGGTCAGTCCACCAATCATGCTCATTTCGAATTCTTTTTCCATGACTCTCACAAATTTTTCATCATGAATTTTTGAGGTTGAACCAAAGATGATGTCATCAACATAAATTTGAGCTACAAGAATGTCATCTCCGTACCTGATGTAGAACATAGTGTTGTCCACTCCTCCTCTGGTGTATCCTTTCCTGGCCAGATATGCTTTCAATCTGTCATACCAAGCTCGTGGATCCTGTTTTAGGCCGTAGAGTGCCTTGCAAAGTTTATAGACATGTGTTGGGTGTATTGTGTCTTCAAATCCCATGGGTTGAGATACATATACATCCTCTTTGAGATATCCATTCAAGAAAGCCGTCTTCACGTCCATCTGATATAGTTTCATATTCCAGACGCATGCCATATTGATGAGTATTCGGATTGATTCAAGCCTTGCAACAGGTGCAAAAGTCTCTTCAAAGTCAACTCCTTCAACCTGTGTATATCCCTGTGCCACTTGTCTGGCTTTATTCCGGATCACTATGCCTTCTTCGTCAGTTTTGTTGCGATAGATCCACTTCATGCCAATAATGTTTACACCTTCAAGTTTTGGAACGAGTTCCCATACCTGATTTTGTTAAAACTGTGCCATCTCTTCTTGCATTGCGTTTATCCAGGCTTCATCAGTCAAGGCCTCCTTGACATTTTTTGGTTCGACTGATGAGGTATAGAAGGCGTTTATCATCTCAACATAGTCGATCTTCTTTAACCTGGTGCGCATGCCTTCTTGTGGATTTCCAATTATATTTTCAATAGGGTGATTCTTCTGAATATGTGTGGGAACTCGAACTTCTTCTAGCTGACTTATCTGCGGCTCTGCATCAGTTTGTTCTTCTGTGTCTGATCGTGTTGAATTCTCTTCAGCTTGCTGAATGGCAGGTGGTTCATCATCTCTTGTGTCACTGTGATCTTTCCATAGTGCTCTATCATCCACAATGACATTTATGGATTCCATTATTGTTCTGGTGCGTTTGTTGAATACTCTGAATGCCTTGTTGTTGGGTGAGTATCCCACAAATATGGCTTCATCACTTTTGGCATCAAATTTACTTCTATGCTCTCGATCTCGGAGGATGAAGCATTTTGCGCCAAAAATATGGAAGTGCCCAACGTTTGAAGTTCGTCCTTTCCACAATTCATATGGTGTTGCTTGGGTCACATTTCTAATGTATACAAGGTTTATTGTGTAGCAAGCCGTGTGTACTGCTTCGGCCCAAAGACTCTTAGGTAGTCGCTGAGTATGGAGCATTGTTCTTGCCATTTCTTGTACATGTCTGTTTTTCTATTCTGCTACCCCATTTTGTTGTGGGGTTTTTGGTGCTGAGAATTAATGAGATATTCCTTGTTCGTCACAATAGTTGCTGAAAGGTTGACTATCAAACTCCCCTCCGTGATCACTTCTTACTCGTATGACTTTTTTTATTTTTGACTGTTTCTCGTTGTGTACTTTGTTGCATAGTGTGGCAAAGGCATTTAGTGTGTCATCCTTATGTCTCAGAAAGCATACCCATGTATATCTTATATAGTCATCAACCACCATGAGTACGAACCTATTGCCTCCCATGCTCTCTGTTCTCATGGGTCCAAACAGATCTATATGCAGCAATTCCAATGGATATTTTATTGATTGAAAGGCCTTGACAGGATGAGTTTTTAGTATTTGTTTTCCTTTTTGGCAAGGCCCGCATACTTTTGTTTCCATATTGGTGATTTTTGGTAGCCCCCTAACAACTCCTGAATTTAATAGTGTTACGAGATCTTTATAATTTAGATGCCCTAGGCGATAGCCACAGCTTTGCATCCTTTTCGCTTGCTGAGAAACACAGTACGTTTGGTGTTACTTTGTAACAATTATCTGCTGTTCTGTCACCTTCAAGCACCACTTGTTTACCTTTTGTCTCTCACTTTGCATTTTTACTATGTGAAAAATACTTCGAGACCTTGATCACATATCTGGCTTATGTTGAGCAAATTTACTTGTAAACCTTGAACCAACCACACATTTTAATAGGTGGTAGTCCTATTACATTGAGTGTAACGCCCCAAAATATGCCCTAGAGTTATTAATGAATAATTATTCAATTAATCAAATTTGTTTTGATTAAAATAAATGGTTGTTGGGCTTTGGGCCGAAATAAAACATATATTGATATCCAATATCACAATCTGGATAAATCTGATAGAGATAAATCCAATATGTTGACTTACTCTGTGATCTTAATTTGGGAACCAGAGTATAGACCCAAATTAGGGATAAATGAAAGATTTGTTTATGATGTGAACTTTGAAATGATTTATTGAAATAAATCATGAAAATAAGTTATATGAATTAAATGTGAGAACCTTTTGATTAAAGGTCAACTAAATCAATTTTGACTCTATCAAAGTCAACCACCCAAAAATATGATGTCGAAAAAAGTATTACAAATAAATATGAAAATTATATCGTTGGATAGAGTTTAATTGTACGATCGCAACGGTGAAAACAGATTTCAATTCGGATAAAGTTGGACCAAAAATTATACCCCGACTAGAAACAAAATTGGTCCCAATCAGGGACTTGCGTTTGAAATGGGAAGAAATCACCGTCCGCTCCACTAGCCGCTCAAACAGAGAAGGTGACGCAGGAACCATTGGCCTCTTCTCCCTTCTTCTCTTATATAAGGAACCAACTACACCATTTCTTCACCATTTTTCTTGAAATAAACTCTGAGAGGAAGCTGTGAGTATGGAGAACAAAGTGGTGTTGTCAATTTGGTGACAGGTCGCCGGAGTTAGGAGTAATCTGTTAGTCGGCTTAGTCGTTGTGCCCACGCCTTAGAGGGGGGGTGAATAAGGCGTTTAAAAACTTTTCGGAGTTAAGTAAAAATGGTGTTGGAAAATGCGGAAGCAATATATAAAATGCAGAAATAAAAGCGTAAATAAAATGCACACCAATTTTATACTGGTTCGGGAACTCCCTACTCCAGTACCTCAAGGCTCCTCCTCAAGGATTTCCGAATCCACTAAGTCTCGGTCTCTTGAACTCCGTCAAAGCACCGCACTAGTTTGGCAAAGAACCCTTGCCAATAGGATTCACTCCGAGATTTCACCACGGCTATCTCGAACCGTTTACAACGAAGATTTAACGGCTATCTTCTACCGTTCCCCCAAGGATTTCAAAGGCTATCCTTGAACCTTTACCCAAGGATTTATACGGCTATCCTCGACCGATACAATATGAGAATTTAACGGCTATTCTCGACCGTAAGAAGGTGTGTTTGAAGAACACAAAAGAGGATTCTACACAACGGCTAGAATATAAAAATGAAGAACAAAACTTAGCCGGTGTAGAAGGAAATTATACTCTCTCAAAAATACAATATAAACTTATGAATATGAGAGTATATAACTAGAAACACAAGCTCAAAGTGTGTGTATAAAATTCAGGAATTTAAGGCTCTTGAAATAGCCAAAATATTGAAAATAATTAATAAAAGGATGAACACACTTAGAATAAAAAGAGAGGATGTTTAGAGCTTTGTTTCTTGAAGAAATATGAAGGATTAGGCTTGTATTTATAGTGGAAGATGTTAATTAGCCGTTGGGAGGTGATTAGGGTTGANNGGTACCCTTCACGGTAGGGGGGTCCGTGTCATCCGGTACCTAGGTACCGTGACACGGTATAGCCTACCGTTTGGGGGTACCGTGTCTTCCAAAAGTTCGGTTCGCCTCTGGCGGTACCTGGTTAGGACGGGTTCGGCCAACCGTCTACGCCTACCGTCGGTACCTAGGTACCGTTACACGGTATGGGGGTACCGTGTAGGCGGTATACCCTACCGTGTGGCGTACCGCTAGAGGTACCGTGACTCTGTTCTGATTTTTCCAAAGTTCCCTTAATCCTTCGTGTTTGAGTTTAAAACCTTTTAGATATTTTGAAAGTGTTTATGTGATGGTTTTAAACATATTATGTGAGTGCTTTTGAGCTTGTGAATATAGGTATATAAAGTCATATCCTTACATTGGTTTCTACCTATATTCTACGCTAGTTTTAGTGTTTCGACTTCATTCTTGAGTACCGAATTATAATGGATTCTTGTTTTCCTGAAACACTTAAACAAACGTTAAGCTCTTATATTGTTTGTTAACATCAAAACATGAGACTTAGCAAACCAAGGCTAACATAATCGTCGCCGGAAGTTTCGCCGGAAAATTTCCAAAACCTTCTTTAAGCTTCAAGGTAAGCCCGTAGATATATCTAATGACTAGAATGTTCGTATAGATCGTTCCTACGTTCATAAACGGTCGTTTGGTTGAGTTTTGTGTTTGACATGTTTGAAGGACCAAGAATCATATACCTTGAAATTATTGTTAAAACTACGAACTAATGTTACCAAAATGATCTATGAACATTGGAGAACATTTCTATATAGTTTAATTGAAGTTTGGTGACTAAAAATGAAATTCCCGAAAATGGACCCGAGGAAGAAGACGATGAACCGTGCACGGTAACACACTACCGCCGGAACGGTAGCTAGGTACCGTCCAAACGGTACCCACCTACCACCAGAACGGTAGGATTCTACCGTCAACAATGGAGTCCTCTGGCGGTACCTGACCACCGGCGGCACCCCCTACCGCCGGCACGGTACCGAGGTACCGTTAGCCGGTACCAAGGTACCGTGAAGGGTACCGTCTGATCCGATTATTTTCCAGAAAATCTGATTTTTTAACTATGAAATTCTATTTTTGATACCAATTGATTATGATCATTATAAGGATTATTTTCATGACAAAAATGATGTTTTGGTAAATAAAACCTTATGTGGTGTATGACGGTAAGTTAGAGTGTTAACACTCGAAACTATGTGGTTATTATGATTATGACTTGATGAATCCACTGATTAAAATGATTATTGAGTATTAAATTATGAATTGAAATAAATACGTTGATGATTATGAAATGATTTGGATTGTAAGGATATCTAGAAGAACTCTAAGATAGACCTCCGATTAGAATGGGCCTTGCGGGTATAAACATGTATATTCGGTGGCCTTGGGTAAAAACTTACGTACGGGATCCATAAACCAAACTAGAGGCACTCGTTTGGGGATACCACCCAACCCGACAGTTAGTATTCTACTGTTCGGTTTTCTGGATTTGTACCTTAAGCGACGGCTAGTTTAAGAGTTTGTAAATCAATCGGAATATATGTACCTTAAACTAATGACCTAGCTAAAGAGTTGGATAGAAGTACCTTGAACTAGGATTAGTTTAAGAGTTGGTAAACATAAAAAACATTAGCCTTAGACTAAGCATAGTTTAAGGATATTGATGAATATTGAATATTGAATATGAATATTGAATGTTGAAATATAGAAATAAAAATATTGAGAATATCATGAATGAATCATACATTATGTGCATGATATCAAATGGTTGATTGTGAATTGAGATTCAATTTATGTGGATATTCGATGCTTTAGATATGCTTACTCAGCTTCACCGCTGAGCTAGTATGTTTTATTTGCTACACGCAGGTAAACAAAATGAATGAAGTGATGATTCCTGGAGGCAGACGGGAGCGAGATGTTCGGGGTGGATATGTGAAATGAATTGATGTTTTAAAAGACATAAAATTATTATATTTTGTAATTGTTATATATTCAGCTTCCGCAACATTAAACTACTCCGTTATTATCTTGGATATTTTATTATTGAATAAAGTTTTAAAATGTTTCAAATATTCTGAATGTTTATGAATACCAAGTTTATGCATTAGTCTGAAAGGCGCTGCAGACCTGGACGGATTAGGGTGTTACATTGAGTGTGCCACTGCCGACTATTTTGCCCGGTGCTCCACCATCAAATCGAACACTCCCTTGTTCATTTGGCTTCACATCCATGAGATTCTCTTTGTCACCTGTCATGTGATGCGATCACCCGCTATCAAGAAGCCATTGATCTTGAGTGACTCTGTAGCAGGTGTTAGCAACCAAGGCATGCTGTTTAGGTATCCAGATTGGTTTGTACTTCCTTTTCAATGAGGTTTGTTTACTCCATCTTCTAATGCACTGGCTTTGTATATGCCCCCATTTATTACAGTTGTAGCACCTGTAACAGTAGTAGTAATTTCTACGAAAAAATTGTTGATGGTTTCTTTTTGCTCGATGACTGTTCGTAGGTGGTGCTCCTTCGGTTTCTTTGACAAACATCACTTCTAGAGATTTTGAGGTCTTTCCTGTGTCTGTGTATCCAATGCAGGTCATGTCTCCTGGAGGCTTTGCCATAAGTGAATAATGATCTAACACATCCGCTCCAGCAACCTTAATCCATTTTTGTTAGGACTTCAATTGGTTTATCTCGAAAAGTAAGTTTGACTTTTCTCCTTTGAGTTCTTCGATCTTGCAGTTAAGTCCTTCAATCTTTTGCTTTAATGCATCAACTTCTGAAAGTAGCCTGTTTTTGTCTGCTATGTTCCTTTTGTTCACCATCAAGAGCTCTGACCATTTTTCTTGCAGGTCCTCCAGTTGCTCTGCAAGACTATCATCATCCCCTGGAGTGACACTAACAACGAACGCACAGTTGGATTCTTCACTATCACTCTGATCCTCAGTTTCTTCATCACTCCATGTCGCTTTGAATGCTTGCCTCTTTTTCTTCAAATTATTTACACACTTAGACTGGATGTGCCCATATCCACCACATTCAAAGCACTGTGGCCCCTTTTTCTTTGTATAGCTGATCTTGTCTGCGTATTTCATTTCTCTGTACTTGGCATCTTTTGGAGAGGGTCCCTTAGATATACCTTCCAGCTTTTGATTTGCTCTCTTTTGAGCCCATTGTTTCTTGAATTACCATGTGAAAAGGGATAACTGCTTCTAGAAATCTTTGTCCAGTGACAAATCACGTTCACTGTCATCTTCTGCCTCAGTGCTGGGAAATGCAATTTGCTTGTCCGGTTTACGCCATTTATTGTCCTCTGCCATGTCGAGTTCAATTGACTCCAGTATTCCCATAAGTGCATCGAGGGTTATGGTCTTGATATTGTGAGATCGTCTGATTGCTTTGACGTCCATGTCATATTCTTTAGGAAGTGACCTTAGCACCTTGAGAACTAACTTGTTCTCAGGGATGGGCTCATTTAGATGTGCAGCCTGATTCGCAATATCTCTAACTCTTCCATGAAATTCAGTGATTTTTTCTTTCTCATCCATGCGTAGATTTTCATATTGAGTCATAAGGATTTGATACTTAGCAGTCTTTACTTCCTCATCTCCTTCATGTGTGACCTCGAGAACGTCCTAAGCTTCCTTGGCATTGTTACAGTTTGAGATGAGCTTGTACTAGGTAGAATCCACTACACCGAAGATTGCATTTAGGGCTTTGTCATTATACTCAGCAGCAATGGCTTCTGCTTTGCGGTACTCTTCGAATGGCTTGATTGTTGATGAAGTTAGGTCCCCAGAATATTTGCAAGGTTCAGACCATCCTGTTTCCACACTTCTCCAAACACCACCTCAAAGATATTTGAGAAATGCTATCATTTTGCCCTTCCAAAAATTGTAGTTGTGTCCACGCAGCAAAGGTGGTCTCTGCACATTTGCACCTTCTTCCATGTCTCCCATGATGTGACCGATAGTTAGTAACTTAAGTTATGCATGCTCTGATACCAATTGAAATTTCCAAACACACAGCACAGTGTTTTGACTAAATAGACTCACATGCAACACAAATAGAATGTTGTTGGAAATTGCGTTGTAGCTCAACTGTCAGACTCACAGAATGCTACAACACCTTTTCTAATACCAGCACAAACACACACACCAAAAGCAAGTAAAGACACAGAGATTTGTTTACGCAGTTCGAAGCTGACTCTCCTGCATCTGCGAGGCCCACATCCGTGTAATAGCCTTTCCACTAGATCAACATAAGAATTACACAATAAATCTCAAAAGATCCTTCTACTAATTTGACTTGTCTACTTACGTGATCTCACTTCAGGCCTATTATACCTTCTCGGTTCTTTGCAATAAGGATGTGTCATTGACCTTTGCTCAGCCAACCAAGTTTCAACAGCTGAACAATCCTTAAAGAAGATCCATGGCTGATCTTTTCATACAGACCTCACGAATTTATATAAGATAGGCTTTCTTCTCTCACTCTCCTTTATGATGTATGAATAGGAAATCGCAGAGTCTCTTCTCTCCTTTTAGCACGGTATCTATCTGTTTCGCTCTACGTTCAATCCTCTGGAACGCCTTATTTATACATATCCTTCTATAGGTTGCAACCCTAACCATCCGTGCATAGAACTCCTTCGTAAGCGTGCTTAGATCCATAAAGTCCTGGGCAAGTAGGAGTCCTTGATCGTGCAAAGAATTGAAAGTAAAGAAGTCCTGCACCGAGCCAATACTTGAGAGTATGAGCAATACCTCCGTAGCATCCTTGTTACTGCAGGTTTGCGTGTAGGATGACCAATTTTACTAGAACAAGGACACCTACACCTACGCTATTCTAGTGGTTGTGTGTTGTCAAAATTAATGCCAACTCATACAAGTCATAGCACACATATTATAGAACTAATACGATGATCCTCAATACCATTTCTGTAACCTCCCCGACCCGTTTCGCGAGTCGGAGGGTGTTACAGATACGATGTGATAGGTAGGTTGAGAATTAATAGGAATAAAAGTGACTTTTCAATAGAAATGACAAATGAGAAATGTTTTTAGAACAGATGAAAAAAGAAAGAAAAAGTTTTCAAAAACGGAGGGAGTAGATCATTCTAGTTTAACATTTCAATATTTTATATTCCTAATTTGTTTTGGGAATAAAGGAATTAGTTTTTTATATAAACAGTGACATTACTTCATTATTTTACTATGTCATTGACATTTATGACAATGACGATGAGAGTGATGATAAGAATGATAACAACAATAATAATCACAATAATAAGTATAGTTGTAATATGAATAATCATGATAAAAATAATATAATAAGAATAATTTAAAAATTTATGTAAATAATTTTTTAAAAATTGTATAGAAGAAACTGAAATGAGTTCAAAAATTTGGAGAAGTTGGAACTTGGGAAAAATTGAAGAACCGGAAAGAATTGAAAAAAGAGAAACAACTTAAAAGAAACATGATAAGTCGGGTTTGGGTTAGTTCTTTTTATTTATTTTTAGGCATTTTTTATATTTTTATTGTATAATTTTTAGTTTTTTTGCTTAGTTTTATTTTAACTTCCATTTTTACAATCTCTTAATTTACTTTCATAAATAGTAGTTTTTAATAACTTTTTACATTTTATTTTTTATTTTTTTTTCCTAACCCAAGTTATCAGATATCTTATTTTTTGAGAAAAATGTAGAAAAAGGCCAAATCGGAGTTCAAGTTTGAAAGGAAGCAATTGAATTTGGGCCGGAGCCCAAACCCAACATTAAAGAATCAGCCCAACACATCTCTCTTCCCAATTCAACTTCACCCACGAAAAAAAAGAGATCACCACGCACTTCTTCTTCTTCTTCTTCGACCGCAAGAACAGGCGGAAACCAAGCCTCCAACGTCTCAAATTCTTCTATGCTCCTCATTAAATTCAGCAACGGCTCTCTCTTATTATCAACGGGAAGAATTTGAAGTTGGTTTGTTTATATAAACTGAAGCTTCATAGCATGAGGAAGAGAGGGGGAATCTTACGCGAATAAAGCAGCGTAGATCAGCGATGGAAAAGAACATCCATCGTAGATTAGCGACGCTATTCACTTATTTAAAAACCTCGAAATCTGCAACGGACAAATGTCCGTCGCAGATCTGCGACGACATTTGCAACGGGCTTCATTCTACAGTTCTCGCTGGTTTGCTAGAACCATGGCTAGCCAGTCAACGCCGAAAGACGATGTCAAAGATAAAAGTTCTCCAAATTTAAAACCAAGTGTTGAAAACACTTATTTAGTGTATCTTACTAAGGAACCAAGTGAATTACCTTAAAACCACGTCATTAAGGTAAACACCGCGGCTAGTCACGTTTATGCCGTTTCACATGGTTTTTACCAAAAGAACAAAAATAAAAGGTGGTTTTTGAAGCGTTTTGGCTGGAGATCCATTAAAATGTACCCACTAGTAAAAACCAATTTTAAAAGTGTTGTTTCAATTCAAGTTTACACTTTTTTTTCCTTGTTTGTGTTAATTTCGAAAGATTCTATAAAATATGGTTGGTGTTCTTTTTTGAGATTTTTTAATGTTTATATTAAATCCCTTATGAATGAGAATTGATTCGTACTACTTTTCTTCATTTTTTTTTGCAAATTGTTGTTGAATTGGTTGAATCGCATAGTTTGATTTCATAAGTAGGTTGGTATGTAGAATTCAGTATTGATTGAAGCTATTTTAGCTCCATATTATAGTTAAATGATTTCCGAATTCATACGTGATTCTTCGTTGTGTGTTTTGTAAAATTTTAAGGTTTATGGACTTCTTAGCTTCATAAGTTGGACATTTTCCTTAAGATTCGTTATCCAGTGATTGTTTATGTCGCGTGTTTGTTCGTTATTTTCATAAAATTTAAGGTTGTTTAAGCACAAAAATAATTTTAAGTTTTTTCAAAATATGTAATGTTCTTTTATGTTAATAGACTAGAATTCTTATGCTTAAGTTGTTCAAGGAGACCTGCAAAATATTTTCATCATTAGACGTTAAAGTTTATTAAAGTGTATAAAATATTCTTTGTGGATAAATTATGCATGAGAGTTAGAATGAAAGAAAAATTTGCTCTTTTATAAACTTTTTCATCTTTTGGAATCATTGTTTGAGCGCTTGAGGTGAGTTGGGGTTCAAACTGATCCAAAAGGCCTTTGAATTACATGACTCCGGGCCTTGTAGAGAGTTGACGATCCTCTATATGTTGTCAATGATATGATTCAACTTGAGCCTTTGAATTGTTTTCTATTTTTAAGTGTGTAAGTTACGTAATATATTGTCTACGTGCTTATTATTCGTATAATGTTTGGTTTGTGTTCATTCTCTTTTTAATTTTGTTTCGGGTTCTTGGCGGTATTTCTTGGGTTACCTAAGTTGGAAAAGCTTATTATCTCTAGTGCTTGTCTTCCCACATTTTATCAACAAAAAAAACCAAAAAAAAAATAAGAAAAAATAAAAACCAAAAAAATATTTACTTTTAATCCAACACCCCCCATGTGTTATGTTTAAGTTATAGTATAAGTTTTTAATTTTTATTTTCTATGTTTATATATAAGTGTTTGTTTATAAATCATAAACATAAGTTTTTTTATACTTTATTAACTTTTAGTATATTTTAAGTATGTGTTTTATGTTTTTAAGTTCATTGTTTATATAAGTTATATTTATAAGTTTTTATATTTATTTAATTATAAGTTTTATAAGTGTTCTATTATGTGTAGTAGTTAATCTGTTTTATTTAGTGACAACGTGTTTGCATGCTAATTTGATTTCAAAAATACAAACTTTCTTCGTGGGATCGATCCTTACTTGTCCTAGATATAGTTTTTATTTGAATATATCTTGGGGGTTAGCTAAAGATATGTATAGATCATTAATTTGTTTTAGACCGCACGACGGGTCTTCTACAAATTTTGGCGCCACGAAGGAGTTAAAAAAAACTGGAATGACTTGAAAAATCTGGAAAGAGTTTGGAATTGTAGAAACAAAACTGGAAGAACTTAAAAAATATAGAAAGAGTTTGGAATTGTAGAATGAAAAATCACCTTAAATAAGACTAAAACATATGAAAAGTACCAAAATAGGATTTTCATTTTTTTCCGAAATAGGAGTTGACACTGTGGAAATGTGGAGGTAATGTGACACTGCACACGTGCACGTTACTATATTTTTTTGGTAATGTACATGACCACGTTTGATAATGTAAATGCATTTTAACTTCTATTTCGGGAATAAAAAATGTATGTCCTATTTTGGTATATTTTCAATGTTTTAATCCTATTTAAGTCTTTTTCGTTTGTAGAATATTACATTTTCGAACCTGAAATGACAAGCCCTAATAAATTATAATCAATCCCAAATTAAAATTTGTTAACCATAATAAATATAATAATGAAAAATCATATATACTTTAATTTGCATCTATGAACTTTCATCCTCCCAATAATTTCTTTTATATATATAAGATAATAAATGTAAAATATAATGCTGTAATGTAACTCCGGAATATTATTGAATTGAGGTGGTAAAATTTTTAGTGTAATTGTTATTTTGGCTCTAACTAATAGTGTAGTAATGAGTCATAAATAACGTTCTTGGCAAATTTCAACCGATGATGCCAAGTATGTACTTCAAGCCAAAAAGTTTGAGTTAGATCGAGATATTGACATTAGGGGACAATACGGTTCCGGGACGGTTCCGGTTCCGAAATCGCCAGTTCTGGTACCGCCACCCCTTGATACCGTTACCGTCACCGGATCGGACGGTACCGCTTCCGGTACCGTACCGACCGGTTTCGGCAACCCCCCTTTTTTTAATATTTAAAAGTGTAAATGTGTAATTGTTAAAGGAAATAAATCAAGTAATGAAATAAAAGATCTAAAAATGTAGTTGTTATTGAAATATTGAAAAATAAGTAATACTAAAACACGAATAATTACATTTAATATCCCGACGGTTCAAAAAAAGCGACGAGGTAAAGAACCGTAAAGAAACCCTCGAAGGAGCTTATATATCGCTCACCTAAAAAAACTAATTACATTAACAAAAAAAAGTTTATAACTTATTCCTATGAACTAGGGCTTCCATCTGTGGTTGCATTCATGTAATGTTTAGAATTTAATTCGTACCCTGACTCTTGAGCTCAACGTCTTGCTAAGAGCCAATCTCGGTTGCAAACAAGTGTTTCAAGAGATTCAGCGCTAAGACAACTTTGGTAGTCGCTTAGAATGTTGCCGCTAGAACTGAATTCTTGTTCCACTGCTACGGTTGATACCGGGACGGATAAAACATGTCTGGCTAGCATTCCGAGACATGGGAACATGTGTTCGTTCCGCTTCCACCATGCGAGGACATCAAACTCCACGTCGTCGTCATAATCGCATGGCACCCCTTGGTACATAGCAAGTTTGTTGTGTGAGCTTACAGTTGTACCACCTGAACTCGTCGAACGCTGACCACGCTTACCTTTTTTTGCCAAAAGCCCACCGACTATTCCTTTAAAACCTTTTTTTGATTTGGGGGCGGAGGAGATGTAGTTTCTTCCGGTGCATTACCGTATATTCCTTGAAATTCTTTAAATAAAGCCTCGAAAAGATTAATAGCATTATCTCTTTCTTTTTTGCATTCTATTAAATGGTTGTAGTAACAATTATTTTCATCTAAAAAACAAGTGTAGTATTAGTCAATCGGAATTTTAAAAATTTCAATCTTAAAGCGAGGATCACAAATAATACCAAATTTATAAATATCAGGAATGTACAAATAATAAGCACATTGTTTATCCCTCATAGAAGAGACATATATAGGGGTATAAGTCTGGATCAGCTATACTTTGACTAAAATATGTTGTAGTTGTAATACACTTTTTAAAAAATCTATTAGTGAAGTGTGTGGTGGATTCCCAGCATATATCTTTTTGAGTGGATAGCCCTATTCCATCTTCCGAGATAATATAATTAATGGCCAGCTTCTTTCTTTTCCCATTGGAAAAGGCGTGAAAAACCTTGGAGTTGGAGTCCCCATTTTCAAGCCATCCTGCATTCGCTTTTTGCTTCCAATAAGCCACTTCTTTGTGAGTAGCTAGTAGCAGCTTGGCGTTGGCCTCCTGGGCTTTCTCACGATTTGCTTCGGATGGATCTTCCTCATAACGCAGCTGGGTTTGGGTTGCTTGATCCTCTTCCACAGTTAGATTATCAAAGATATTTCCAAACTCTTTCTTGTTCCACTCCCTAAGACAACCCTTTAGATCTTTTAGTTTGGCCACTAGTCCACGCATGCCACCACAGGTGAGACTTTTATTCCAACTGTCCTTAACCACTTGGAGGAACTAGTTGTGGTGTATCCAGGCATTGAGGAATCTGAAGGAAGATGGCCCGCGGTCTTGGCTAGAGTGACAAGAGAAGAGGACAGCTTTGTGATCACTACAAGCTTTGGGTAAGTGGTGAGTGAAAAAGTTAGGAAAGGATGATTAGAATGCTAGGTTAACCAGGACTCTGTCCAACCTATGCCAAGTTTTCCCACGGCTCCTTGTGCCAGACCACGTAAAGAGACCATCTGGACAGAACAGGTTGCATGCTTCAATGCACGAGTTGAACTCTTCCATTCCTTGTGCACTTGGTTCACACGTACCTTTGTTTCTGTAGGGGAAGAGATAGCATTAAAGTCACCTCCCACCACCCAATTATGATTAATGTTACTCCTCGCTTGCAAGCTCTCCCAGAGATGCTTTCGTTCAACCACCGTGTGAGCCCCATACACACAAGAGATGGTAAGGTTGGTGTTGGAGTAGTTTACCATGGAAAAGTTGCAGTGAGTAACTTGCTCTTCATCATTAGAGCTAACCAAATGAAGCATGCTAGAATCCCAAAAAATCCATCTCTTGTTATTAGCCGAAGAGAGATGGCTGTTGTAACCCAATTTAAAACCGTAGGTAGATATGTGTGAGGCCGAAACCTTAGGTTCAAAAAGACAGAAGAAAGAAGGGGTGTGAATCCTCTTGAGGGAAAGTAGTCTGTCAAGGGAAGAGGGCACCCCATAGACATTCGAAAAAATCTGCTGCATTTGGAAACCAACGAGGATACTTTATTAGAGCTTTTACTCTTTGTCTCCATTGCATGAGGAGTATAATCTTTGAAGTTTTTGAGGTACTTTTTGAAAGGAATAGTGGTGGCGGTGGAAGAGGAAATGTCCACCTGGAGGGGCGAAGCTCGGAGCTATCGAAAGGCATATCCCCTTCATTGCCTTCGGAGTGGCAGTACAAGGTGGAGATTTCTTCATATTTGTCAAGGTTCCCAATATTCACGCACATAATGAGAAGGTTTGCTAACCCAGTAGTCATCTTTAATGAGAAGGTTTGTGGCAAGGGAAGGAACTCCTGGAGCAGAAGAGAAGGGGACCAGGGCTAAGTTGTCATCTGTGTGATGTTGGGGCAATGGGACTGAATTGTGTTTATGGGAAGGAGATGGTGTGGAAAGGGCCTCATCATCATTCACATCTTCAATTATGGGAATGAGGAGAGACCAGTGTCACTTTACTTGTTTAGATGTGCTTGGTTGATCCAAAGAGCTGTGAAAAGCAAGGGGGACATAGAAAGAGGGCTGTCAGTCCTAGAATTGTCCACATGCTGCTGGACTGGGTTTTTGGAAGGGGAATGATTAGGCCCCGTAGTACATCCATCCCTGCCCAAATTTAAGACTTGCCTGCCTCGTCGTTTTGCTTTTACCCATGTCCAGCCTGCAGAATCCTCCTTATTACCCGCTCCCATGTGGCCCACCTCACCGGCCGGAGCTTTCCCGGTGAGGCTCAAGAGTTTATGCTTCCGGCAGTTGTTGAAGGTATGCTCGAAAGTGTAACAACTTGAGCAGAATTGTGGGGATTTTCAAACTTACAAAGGATCCAGAGATCCCTGCAACCCAAACGAATATGAACACGGGAGGGTAATGGCAAGGAGGTGTCTCTTTCAACACAAAACCTTGGTTGTTTAGGGAAGACACCAATCACCGTGTTGGAATCAAGTTTAATGGGCTTGCCAAAGAGGGAGGCTATTTTAAAAAGAGAACCATGGTCATTGAGATGAACTGGGAAGTGCTCTAGCTTGATCCATACCGGAGCAATGGGAGATTCACGGGTTGGGGAGTAGTCTCGGGACCATTTGGAGATGGCAATGCTGATGCCATTGACAACCCAACGTCGCTGGGAGAACCAACACAAATAATCTCCTTCCCGTTTGAAGAGGAAGAGGATGTCATTCTTTCGCAACCTTCTCATCTTGAATTCACTGTAACCACCTTTAATAAGGAATGCCTCCAATCCATCTAGCTTGGCTCTACTACTGCAACGCCCCACAAGTCCAAGGGAAAATGGTTCTGCAAGCTTTAGTTCTTCTTCAAAGAACAAAGAGATGGATGGAGCACCGTTGAAGATGCCATGGTTGTTTCCAGGAAGGTTTTCTGTATCTTTAGAAAGTAGTTCCGAGAACAGAGTCTTCCTGTTGGGGTGCAAATGGCTTTGGATCCTCGCCGGAGTTTTCACATTTCCGGTGGCCGGAAATCTAGAGAGAGAGAGAGGGAGCCATCTGATGAAAGGTAACCACGGTTGGGAGGGCAGCGGAAATACAAAAAATTAATCTCTCAATAGTGATTACTAGCCCAAGAACACGTACTAAAAATATAGCTAGAGATAGAAAGTTATACCTTCTCTGGTAAAGCGGTATGAACGAGAAGTCGAGCAAAAGGTGTTGAAGGAGCAAACGTAGCCGTTCAAGCGTCCGGCCTCCAACTTTGACACACGAACAATCTCCGGAGTCTACTATAATCTTTATCTTTATGCTAGTAAAGATTATAATAGTATATTTTAATATAAAGATTTAAGAGGTATAATATTAATCTTGTATATCAAAACTAGAAAATATATCAATAATATTTTAAAGAAAATATTATATCAATTTTCTACACCCAAAATATCAACTTTGGGACTCAAAATGTTTTTCTCTTCCTCTTCCCTTCTTGGCCGAAACTCTCTGTTTTTGGGGAAGTGAATGAGCTTTCATTTTTATTAAAGTATAAAAGGCAATAACAATAATAAAAAGACAAAAACACTTTTGTCAAATTGTCCTCCTCCACTTATTTCAAAAGTGGGAGACAAGCTCCACTATAAGTGTATGTACGAAATGGTGAGGGGGAGGAATTTAATTCCTCTCCTATCAAAAGTTCAAAGTGTATTTTATTTGACATCAATAATTTTTATGATATAAAATAAAATATTCAAAACATTTTAAAACAAGTATATAAAATATACTTTAAAATAGTTTTTGTCAAAATAATTATTTTCATAATTAAAATGATACTCCAAAATAAAATATACTCCAAAACATATTTTGATATATGTATTATTGTTATTACTACACCGTACGTACGCATATAAGTAATAATGCATACATAAATATGCATACCACCATACATACATATATATGATGTAAAAGTATAAAAGTTTACAAAATTGTAAACCAGATATACACATATATATATATACATTATTATTATAACAAAAAAACGTACGTACTAAGTAATAAATACATATACAAAATATATTTACATATTTTATTTTACTATTTTACAATATACAAATTCAGTATTTTCCCTTCTTATAATTCTACTTTTTAAATTCTCCAAAGTGTGTGACCCGTATAGGCACTTATAAAACTGGTCACAGTATTGAATCTACACCAATACTATAAGTAATAAGCGGTATCTAGCAACACATTATTACCCCCAGATTATAAGTTTAGACGTTTGCTTCATCAAAACCTTTCTACGACTAAGACTTTGTATAACGTAGATCCTTTTGTCCCAATGTCTTAACTTAGTGCAAGGGATATAAAATATCCAACTTGTAGCCATTAAGTTATTTACTGATTAACAAGTCTGACTGATGAGAACAGATGTCTAAACTCATCTCAGCATGGTCATGCATTTCTTCAGTCATACTTATCAGTGGGCCCCTATAAGACATTATTCTGCTTGAGTAGCAGTGACAAATTCTTTGTACGTAATCTACGTCTTCGAATACGTGCAGCGGCATGCCCAATACAAAGCCTGTGTACCATCCTTATTCCATACGGCTTAGGACAATGAATCAAAGCATGCGGGTTCACGAATTTGAAGAACGTAATACTTCAAGTCTAAGGATCGTTAAGGTGGGTCAAGTCTGGCATCCTATTATTAAGGATAATATCTGCCCGAGAGTAGATGCGAACAATCCGTCATTGACCAAGAGACTAGGTCAAACATCTAACTCTCACTAGTCTCACGCGCACTAACGATATCCCATTCTCGTTAATGCTTCGATTATAGACCGTTCAGAATTATACTAAGTGACAAGATGTCAGTCTCAACATCACAAGACTCATTCTGATAAACATTTTATAATATAATTCTAGGAATGCAATTAAGAGTTTACATTAGCATGAGATGTTTGTAAACTTAATGCATCTGCCTTTACATGATAGAAAATATCTAAGATATTACAACAACAGTTAGCCATAAGGGCACCAACTCCAACAATCTCCCACTTGCACTATGGCCAATCTGGCATCGGTCGAATGCCCATTGACCTAGTGTGACCCTCATGCTTTAGCTTTCCCAAGGGCTTGGTCAGGGGGTCAGCTATGTTGTCGTCTGTTCCTACTTTGCAAATCTCTACATCACCTCTGTCTACGATTTCTCGTATGATGTGATAACGTCGTACAATGTGCTTGGTCTTTTGGTGAGATCGTGGTTCCTTTGCCTGTGCAATGGCCCCAGTGTTGTCGCAAAACAACGGGATTGGGTCATTAATGCTAGGAACTACTCCAAGTTCAGAAATGAACTTCTTTATCCAAACACCTTCCTTTGCTGCTTCAGCAGCAGCCATGTACTCAGCCTTTGTAGTTGAATCGGCGGTTGTGTCCTGTTTAGAACTCTTCCAGCTAAAAGCTCCGCCATTCAGGCAAAACACATACCCTGCTTGTGACTTGTAGTCGTCTCGATCGGTTTGAAAGCTCGCATCTCGTGACCAGCATAACATACACCGTACTACGCTCTGCCAGGGCTGAGTACGTGACAGTGCACATTAGCCGGAAAGGTGCCGGGCGCAGGAAGGCAATACAGACTTAATATTTCGAGGGATTTTAAGTTTTACGATCTCACCTACGACACATGCCATGCACGTGTCAATTTAGTAGCGTTAAACATACATTCACATGCATTCAAAATACGCAGTAAATAAACGTGTAATGATTGTGGCTCCTAAAGGAAAAATAAAACGATAGCTCCCACTGACTTCTAGGCTCTTGGACTTCGGACTATCTCCATTCCTTTATATTCCCTCGAACGGACTTCAAATCTTTTATCTTCTAACCACCACGTGAGAAAAGAATCCTCTGTTGAGGTAAGAGAGAGAAATAGATTTACAACGAGAGTTTAAGAGATAACGCACGACACAGAGGCCGTATTATAATCAAATAAACTATAGCCACAATCATCCACCATGCATATCATACATCCACACAGGCAATAGAGATATACATACACCGGGCAAACCGCGCTCGCCCCAGATAATTCTAGAAAAATACTACGTTGGTAATATTTTCTAAAATTCATAAAAATTCATAAAGTGGTCCAAAAATTATGAAATTTTACCAAATCATCCTAAATACATTAGGTGACTTTCGGGCAGGGGCAAAACCGAAAATGAAATTTCCAGGAAACACAGAATTACGAAAATGCCCCTAGAGCAATGTTTATTCCAAAATTCATTTTAAATTTGAAATAAATTTGCAAAAATCATGAAAATTAATTTCCAACTTCCAGTAACTATTTTATGCATTTATAAATTGGAAAAATAAATTTCCAGAATTTATAAATATTTATTTCCTAAATATATTAATTATATCTCAATAATTGAAAAAATAATTTTAAATCATTTTTCAAAAATCATTAAATTATAAAATTTAATATTTAGAAAAATCAACTTACTTTTACTGAGATATAATTTTCCAAAATGATATTAGCCATTTTCAATTTATATATATATATATATATATATATATATATTACTCGGTAATATATATATATACCGATATATATATATATATATAAAATTAATTACTAACTAATATTATTTTGTCCAATATATTTATGAACAACTTTATTTCACGTAGAAATAATATCTCCATGTTTTATAAAGTTCACTTTTGAATTTCTAATATTTATTTAAGATTTATTGGAATTAAATCTAAATAAATACAATTAACTCAAAAGTTGGAAATAAACAATTTCGAAAATTAAAATATAATTTTATTAACCATAAAATGATACTTTATGTCCAATAAAATTATATTCAAATTTCGAAATATATATAAATATATATTTTCGAAATTCCCGAATATATTTATAAAAATATATTATCGGTACAAATAAATAATGAATATTTATTTTAATGATTTATTTAAGTCCAATAGTTATTCCAAGACTAAAATAAATCATTTTAGTAATTTTCGAGATTAGCAAATAATTACCAAGTTAAAAATAATTTCCAACCGAAAAGGTTCTACGAAAATCTATAGTTTTGTACGTTGGCTCTGATACCACTGAAAGGTAACCACAGTTGGGAGGGCAGCGGAAATACAAAAATTTAATCTCCCAATAGTGATTACTAGCCCAAGAACACGTACTAAAAATATAGCTAGAGATAGAAAGTTATACCTTCTCCGGTAAAGCGGTATGAACGAGAAGTCGAGCAAAAGGTGTTGAAAGAGCAAACGTAGCCGTTCAAGCGTCCGGCCTCCAACTTTGACACACGAACAATCTCCGGAGTCTACTATAATCTTTATGCTAGTAAAGATTATAATGGTATATTTTAATATAAAGATTTAAGAGGGATAATATTAATCTTGTATATTAAAACTAGAAAATATATCAATAATATTTTAAAGAAAATATTATATCAATTTTCTACACCCAAAATATCAACTTTGGGACTCAAAATGTTTTTCTCTTCCTCTTCCCTTCTTGGCCGAAACTCTCTGTTTTTGGGGAAGTGAATGAGCTTTCATTTTTATTAAAGTATAAAAGGCAATAACAATAATAAAAAGACAAAAACACTTTTGTCAAATTGTCCTCCTCCACTTATTTCAAAAGTGGGAGACAAGCTCCACTATAAGTGTATGTACGAAATGGTGAGGGGGAGGAATTTAATTCCTCTCCTATCAAAAGTTCAAAGTGTATTTTATTTGACATCAATAATTTTTATGATATAAAATAAAATATTCAAAACGTTTTAAAACCAGTATATAAAATATACTTTAAAATAGTTTTTGTCAAAATAATTATTTTCATAATTAAAATGATACTCCAAAATAAAATATACTCCAAAACATATTTTGATATATGTATTATTGTTATTACTACACCGTACGTACGCATATAAGTAATAATGCATACATAAATATGCATACCACCATACATACATATATATGATGTAAAAGTATAAAAGTTTACAAAATTGTAAACCCTATATATATATACATTATTATTATAACAAAAAAACGTACGTACTAAGTAATAAATACATATACAAAATATATTTACATATTTTATTTTACTATTTTACAATATACAAATTCAGTATTTTCCCTTCTGATAATTCTACTTTTTAAATTCTCCAAAGTGTGTGACCCGTATAGGCACTTATAAAACTGGTCACAGTATTGAATCTACACCAATACTATAAGTAATAAGCGGTATCTAGCAACGCATTATTACCCCCCAGATTATAAGTTTAGACGTTTGCTTCATCAAAACCTTTCTACGACTAAGACTTTGTATAACGTAGATCCTTTTGTCCCAATGTCTTAACTTAGTGCAAGGGATATAAAATATCCAACTTGTAGCCATTAAGTTATTTACTGATTAACAAGTCTGACTGATGAGAACAGATGTCTAAACTCATCTCAGCATGGCCATGCATTTCTTCAGTCATACTTATCAGTGGGCCCCTATAAGACATTATTCTGCTTGAGTAGCAGTGACAAATTTTTTGTACGTAATCTACGTCTTCGAATACGTGCAGCGGCATGCCCAATACAAAGCTTGTGTACCATCCTTATTTCATACGGCTTAGGACAATGAATCAAAGCATGCGGGTTCACGAATTTGAAGAACGTAATACTTCAAGTCTAAGGATCGTTAAGGTGGGTCAAGTCTGGCATCCTATTATTAAGGATAATATCTGCCTGTGTTGAATCGGCGGTTGTGTCCTGTTTAGAACTCTTCCAGCTAAAAGCTCCGCCATACAAAGCCTGTGTTCAAATCTATCACATTACATTTTGAACGTGTTTCTTAGCCATATTCAAATCTATCACATTAAATTTTGGCGCAACATCGTTTGAAAAATTTTCATTATTTAGAATACATCAATGCATCATAATTGTGTAATGAGAATTTCACCATCTGATAGATAAAAATCCACTTTGGTTCTTAGATTATACAATAATCCTTTACCTCGACTTTAAGAATGCAATTCTTTATCATAGAAATGCATTACCTTTATTCATAGAATGCACAATAATAGAAATCCACGAAGAGTTTGTTCATTAATGATTAAACATTAGTAGCGATGAAAAACATGTTAGACTACATTGCACCTTGATCGAATTCTCTATGATGCAAAGCCTGTGTTCAAATCTATCACATTACATTTTGAACGTGTTTCTTAGCCATATTCAAATCTATCACATTACATTTTGGCACAACATCGTTTGAAAAATTTTCATTATTTAGAATACATCAATGCATCATAATTGTGTAATGAGAATTTCACCATCTGATAGATAAAAATCCACTTTGGTTCTTAGATTATACAATAATCCTTTACCTCGACTTTAAGAATGCAATTCTTTATCATGGAAATGCATTACCTTTATTCATAGAATGCACAATAATAGAAATCCACGAAGAGTTTGTTCATTAATGATTAAACATTAGTAGCGATGAAAAACATGTTAGACTACATTGCACCTTGATCGAATTCTCTATGATGCAAAGCCTGTGTTCAAATCTATCACATTACATTTTGAACGTGTTTCTTAGCCATATTCAAATCTATCACATTACATTTTGGCGCAACATCGTTTGAAAAATTTTCATTATTTAGAATACATCAATGCATCATAATTGTGTAATGAGAATTTCACCATCTGATAGATAAAAATCCACTTTGGTTCTTAGATTATACAATAATCCTTTACCTCGACTTTAAGAATGCAATTCTTTATCATGGAAATGCATTACCTTTATTCATAGAATGCACAATAATAGAAATCCACGAAGTGTTTGTTCATTAATGATTAAACATTAGTAGCGATGAAAAACATGTTAGACTACATTGCACCTTGATCGAATTCTCTATGATGCATAGCAATATATGGTGCATAATATGCATTTATAAATATCTTGCTCTATGATTACCCGTCGACATTTTCATCTTGGTCGCGTGAAGTGCCATAACCATGGTAATTGACCTTGTGTAGATTGTTTCAATGTAAAAGAGGAAATTAAATATGGAGTGCCTAAAAAAAGAAACGTGAATGGGACCTTGCAAAATATATGGAATATGGGTGCTAAAATCATGGGCACGATTGAATTAGGATTGATTAGATTTTGTTGACCATTGAAATGTTTGTTTTACCCTTGTCAATTTTTATGAATTTTAAAGAAAAATAAGATAAACTTCCTAAATCCGACGTTCACGGTTTATTCTTATTTCTTTCATATATAAGATCTTATTCTCGCAGGAACATACACACACAAACACACACACACACACACGGTAATGTGATTACCGAAATATTAAATATATATTTAATATTTATTTTTTCTTAATTATATGATAATTAAAGTTGACAAAATAAATTGTTGTATTTTATTACATGGGGCCGAAATAAAGTGTTGGAAGGAGGAAGGAGTTTGTGTTGATACACAACTCTACTTCCACAAATAAAGGAGATATGATCTCATTTAACGATGATGGTTGGTACGCCACTTTGAATTGATCCATCTCCATCCTTGGCCAAAAATCACAAAAAACGGAAGATTATATTTGATATTTTTCTTGATCATTCCTAATAATTTTCTATATTCAAGGAATATTCTAGGAAGAAATTACTAGCATAAATTCTTCATAGAACACCGTTCGTTGTTCGTGTGGACGCGCTAGAGGTTGGATTCGTTTGTGACTAGTTCGTTGCACCTATCCCTTTACCTGCACCGTCCGATATGTTTTCTACGAGAAAAGGTATTCTTCTCAACAATAATTTATAGTTTTCGTAAGACGATCCTAGGTGGTAACGACGATTGGATATAAAAATTTGGTTTTCCGCTGTGCTATCCATGCGTGGTTACCCAATAGTGGTATCTGAGCCGGCTTATGAAATTATAAATTTTGTAGATTTGTTATCGTTAAGGTTTTCGATAATTGATATAATTCGGAAATATGATTTTTGGAATTAGTTTTGGATTATTTTTCTATTTATTCTATTAAGTGTAGTTTTGTAGTTTAATTGGTTAATATACAAAATAAATACTTAATAAATTAGAAAATTAATTTTAATGATTCTAGAAAGTTAAAATATGATTTTAATCATTCTGGAAACATAAAATTAAATTTTCGGAATTAAATTCCTTAATTTGAGCATTGATCTGATTTTGTAGTTAATTTGATTAATCACAAAATAAATTTTCGGATTTTATTTTCTATTTTTCGGAATTATTTTCTAATCCTGGAAATATCATTTTCAGATAGTACAAAATTATTTGAGAATATATCCTGAAACTAAAATAATTATTTTCTATTTATTAATAATTTAATTTTGATAATCTTAGAATTACCGTGTTAATTATTAATTAAATGTGAATATAATATTTTTTCTGGAAAATTATTATATTGGAAAGAAAATCAGTATATTTCTGAAATATAGATTTTTTCGAAATTTATGATTTAAGAAAATAAATTATTGAAATTATTTTCTGTTTCTTTTGGTTATGGTAGTGTTTCATTATTAGTCAGCTTCCTAATCCTATTTGTAGTAGATGTTGTATGTTAGTTAGTTTCCATTCTCTATTCCTAGTTGTGTTAGGAATTTCTCCTATATATATACTCTATCATGTATTCCATAATTAAAAGGAGCAATATTATTATTCCCATATTTCAACAGTTTCCTTGTATAGTAATTGATATATTTAAGAAAATAAAAAATACCAGGGTGGAAATTCGGTTTCCATGTTCTAGTAGGAGACTAAATCTATATTTTGGATAAATACGGATTTTCTGGAATATTTTGAATATTTAGAATTAATTTTGGAAATTAATTCAACTCCTAAAAGGATAAGTATGAAAATTTCGAAAGTAACATTTATAAATTTGTAAATTCGATTTCCATGATCAAGTAGGTGACAAAATCTTTATCTTTGGAAAATAATGATTTTTGGAATTTTTAAATATCCAAAATTAATTTTTAGAAATTAATTCAGTTTCCTACCAATTAAATTTTATAAATTCGAAATAATATTATATAAAATCAGGAAATTTTTAGGAATTGGTATGAGACAAAATGTGTTGTTTTTGAAAATATTGATTTTTGGAATATTGGGAATATTCAGAATTAATTTTGGAAATTAATTTATGTCTCTACGTCACTAATTGTATAGATCCGAAAATAATAAATCATTAATTCTGTAAATTTTATTTTCACATTAAATAAATCAAAAAATGCATTCTGGAATTTATTTATTATTTTTCGAAAGGTATAAGTATTTATTTCAAATTAAAATCCCAATTTTTAAATTAATACCTATATTTACAATATAATATTATTTTAAAATTATGGAAATTTCAAAATTGTGTTCTGTAGTTTTAAAATATTTTTAATTAAATTATTTGATAGTTTAATTATTTGTTTTAGAGTTATAGCTTATTTTCTCGTAGAATAAACTAGTTCTAGGGCGAGCGCGGTTCGCCCGGTTTTTGCTTAACTGTTTGCATGTGATGTATGGTTGGTTTGCATGATGTATGGTTGTGGCTTATTATTATTATTATTATTATTATTATTATTATTATTATTATTATTACTACTACTACTATTATTATTAATTTTAAATACGACCTGCGTGTTGTGCCTTATCTCTTTATCTCTGAATGTAAATCTCTCTCTTGATCCTCATACCCATTGCATTTAATGCAATGATTCTTTTCTTCAAAATTATGTAATCGTTATATTCAAGAAAAGATCAGCATGGCTGGAAAGCTTTGATGAAGAAATAATCACTAAAGAGAAAGATGATGATGGGCCGGAGATAGAGATCTCAAGAAATGGTGTTATCGTTATTTTTTCTTTAGGAGCCACAACCATATCACGTTTATTCATTTATATATAAGCATGATGTATATGAATGTATATATACGCTAGTGCATGCCCACAGCACATGTCATACATGAGACCACGTTTAAATCCCTTGTTATATTAAGTTTGTGCCTTCCGGCGCCTGCTCACTCGTCAAAGCCAATTTAGATCAGTAGTGGACACGCCAAAGCGGGACGCCTGGTTTACGTTGTTGAGGCGCGAAATCCGTAACAAAGGATACTGACAGACCTTGGGTTGGACTTAACTAAATCATGGTAAAAGGATGAATGACTTAGAGGCACACCGTTAGGTTAATAAATAAAATTAGTTCATCCAGCTAGAGTTGCAAAGTGTCGCAATTGGAAATAGTTCCTACCTGAAATAATTTAACTATAGGGCAAAATGCAAAATACAACTATAGTTAGATGAAATAAACATCTAGGCCCTTAATAAAATTTTATTTAAAATAACCTAGCAAACAAAGGGTTTTAATAGTGATTACAATTGGAAATTGTTCCTACCTAGTTAGTTTAACTATAGGGCAAGATGCAAAGCACAACTATAGTTATATGTAATATGGACCTTGGCCCACTAAGGATTTTTTTTTCACGAAGAAACCTCGAATCAACAAGTTACAGACTAGAGGGTAGTTGGTTTGTTTAAAATAGTGGGAGAGTTTTTAATAAAAGTCCTAATTAATTACTTAATTCTTGATAAATAACTATTTTGCAAATCATCTGTAGATGACCAGTAACAATCACAACCTCACCTTGCGTTCAATCCTAGACAAAGACAAGTTGACCGTGTCCAACTTCTTGGATTGACAATGCAATCTCACTATTGTTCTTCGTCTTGAGAAGAAAGAGTATGTACTTGAAAAGGTCATTCCTCAACCTGCTGCCAATGCTTCTAGAGTAGTCAAAGAAGCATATGACAAGCACGTTGATGATGACATTGAAGTGGCGTGTCTCATGCTAGCTACTATGACTTCTGAGCTTCAGAAGCATCATTACGGCATGAAGGCCTATGATATGTATCTACACCTGAGGCAGCTCTACCAAGGGCAAGCTAGGCATGAGAGATTCCAAATCTCTAAGGCACTCTTCAGTTGCAAGTTGTCTGTTGGAAACACTGTCGGTCTACATGTTCTCAAGATGATCGGCTATGTCGAGACTCTTGAGAAGTTGCGTTTCTCACTGAGACAAGAACTTGCAACGGATCTTATTCTGCAATCGTTGCCAGAAATGTATAAGTAGTTTGTCGTTAATTATGAGATGCATGGGTTTGATAAACCCCTGCCCGAACTCTTAAAGATGTTACAAACTGTTGAAGAGAGCCTTACAAAGGGAAAAGGTAGTTCCATCCTTGTTCAAGACAGAAAGGGTAAGAAGAAGAAACTTAAGAAATTTGGAAACAAAGGCAAAGGTAAAACCAAGCCAAAGTCCACTTCTTCTAACCTTAAGCCTAAAGGTGGAGTAGAGAAAGACTCCATATGTCATCATTGTGGCAAGAAAAGCCTTTGGAGGAGGAACTGTAAGGATAACCTGGCTTCCAAGAAGAATAAGGAGGGTGACGCCTCTGCTTCAGGTACAATTGTTATTTGAGCATTGCAAATCTACAACCCTTTGTAGGTATGTGATACTTACAAATGCAAATTGTTGCAGGGACTGAAGAAAAGTAGATGGTTGGCTCAAGGGGAACTAGACATGATGGATCGATGGATGCAAGTGTTGCAGTTCTGTTATCATGTTTTAGTTTTTATCATTTGATCCATTTTCAAATATTGAATTGATTATTGTTCGTTTTATCTTAGCAAGACATTATATCATGTTTTATGATTTCTTAATTATTTCAAATAAAGGATAAACCGTTGATCCATTTATAGAAATAATATGTCTTATGCTATATTGATCAAATGATCTACCTACTTTATTGTGAAAGTATACCCTCATATACAACAGCTTTACCAAAAAGACATAAACCAAATGGTTTACATCTTGTTTGGCATTAGCCTAAATATGTGAGCTAAACGAAGGAATAACGCATTCCCATTTCAGGATCGGTCGGTGACAATGAAATCATATGATTTTGAATCAAATGAGACATGTGATTCTTATTCATGTATATGGGCCTTCACAAAAACAAAAAACAGCTAATGTCGAGTATTCATACTTCATTATGTTTATTAATTTCTTGGATAAACATGACATATGATTCTTAGGAAGAACATATCAAGACTTTTCAAATTGTTTGAAAGGACTTTTGACTGAAGTTGAAAGAAAATTTTGGAAGCATTAATATGTATTTTGATATGATCAAAAGGATAGACACTCTTTAATAAGACTCATGGAAAGAACATCATACTAGTTATGGATGAGCTTATGCCTTATAATGTCCTACTTTAGGACTCTAGCCTAAAATCTTGTGTCAAGCGTCCCTAGACGTGAGACAAGCTTAAATGCTGAGATATATTGTGATATATCTATTCATTAAGGCAGTCCTCGAGGAGCTGAAATGTGAATTTAAGCACAATCAGTTATGAGCTTATTAAGTATATAACAAGTCTTGTAGAAGACTAGTGGGAGCACTGAAATCTTCTTCGCGTTGAATATTAACGAGAATATTACTCACGAAGAATGATATTCATACTCGCACTTGGTTGAGTAAGAATTTCTCCATGGAGGACACGGAAGATGATGGTCATGCTCTTGACATTTGAATATATAAAGATAGATTTCATAGGTTGTGAGGATTGAACCAAAGTACATATGTGTAGACAAAATCCTCAATGAATTTATGATGACTATGAGGAATTTTATCAGTGATCCAAAGGAAGAGTCTTTCGAAGACTTAAGAAAACACTTGGAATCGTTCCATATAGACTAGCTACTGGATCAATCATATGTACTCACACACTGAACGGGGTTAAAATAGCATCACTGAGAACAAAGTATATCTTTGAGATATTGTCTATGGAAGATGAGGTTAGTGTGTGAGATTACACTAAAGCTAGCTTCCAATGCATCAGCGATGTTGATTAAGCCGTTAGGAGGATTGTATAAGTTATTAGGATGACAGATCCTTGAGCTAGAAGAGCTACGGGTCTAAGTCACATTGTCAAGATACAGAGGTAGATTACCAAACAAGTAGGTTACATGACAGCTTTTGAAGCTGCTGAGTATAGTGTTTGGACCCAATGTTTCATCACAGAACTCGATACGATTCATAGTAGTTTTGAATCCCAAATCATTGTAGAATGATTCAACAGGATCTTTTCACTAGCCAATGAATTATGCTCTCACCGGGAATACCAAACGTATCATCAGAACGTTTACACGTTAAATGAGCATGTAAGAAAATTGCAAGATAAGTACGGATAATAATTTAACAATTCCACTGACCAAGGCTTTGGGAAGGCCTAAACACGAGGGTCACACTTTGTCCATAGGCATTTGAGAAATGCATAATTGGCCTTAGTGCTAGTGGGAGATTGTTGGATCTATGATCCCTAAAGGCCAATGTTTGAAAGTATATGAATGTTTATCAAGAATAAAAGGCACTAAAGAATGTTTATACATCTCGTGATTCTAAATATGGCTTTAGTCCATAGACTTAGTGCTCTGGTAGCATAGACTAGAACTACGATGTTCTGATTATGAGGTTGTTACATTAATAGAGGCTATGTCTAAAATGTCCTTAGTCAAATATTATGATAATACGGACATCATAATATACTAAGACTAATACGTATGAGACAAGATACATGCGTCTCATAGACTATGGATATTGTGATATCTTAATCTATATGTAGGTACATATCTGGGATATAGTACTATACTGACCCACCATGAGAATACTAAATGGGTATTATTTTAAATGTGTTAGTAGTAGTCTCATTCGACCATTGGTATAACTATCCTTAGACTTGAGGTCATTATGATCTTTAATATGTTGACCTATATGCTTTGACTCATATCTAATGCCATCTGAAATACTGGTGGACGTACAGTTATGTTTTGGGTATATAGTTACACATATGTAAAGGCATGAATGACGTAGAAAGAATTTATCCCTTCCATAGTGATGAAGTGTAATGTCTTCGGGCCCACTAATTGATATGACTTGGAAAGTGTATGGCCATACCCAGATAAATTAATATATGTGATATTAATGTTATTTGAATCCCACAAGTCAATCTGAGAATCAGTAAACCAATGATTTAACTCTAACAAGGTTACACTTCTCATACCTTGTGTTAAATCTAGACATTAGTGATAAAGGGATAAGAGTTATACAAATGTAATGTGTCGTTGGAGGTATTGTTGCAATGAACTTTATGTTTATAACATGGGTAGGGATAATGTGTTGCTAGATACCGTTTATCGTTTATATTATTAATTGTGATTAATACTATTGACATCGTTATGAATACCTAGAAGAGTCACACACGTAGAACAATTGAACGGAGTAGAAAATTAAATGGAATGATGTAAAATAATATGGGACGTGTGACATACATATTAAATAAATATGTTGACATTTTAATTATGTGATAATTAAGTTTGTCAAATATTATGTGAGAAATAATAATATATATACACACACACACACACATATATATATATAGGGGTTGGTTCATGTGAGAATGTTGCTTGGTGAAAGAAATGAGAATAACTAGTGTGCAAATATTAAAAATGGTAACCATTAATTACGGTCCATAAATGTAGGGGCCAATCCCCTTTATGCTCTTATCAAGGCCATAATTGTAATTTTGAAATACTAAAAGAATCGTGCAACATATGGCTAACCTTTTTTACGCCTCTTTCAATGTGATCGTGCATAGAGTCCAAATAAACAAGAATTATTTATTTTGTCCTAGTGTATTTTGTCTAATTTGATTTTTTCGAGTCAAACAAGATAATTTTTAAGCTTGAATTAAACAAGAATTGTAATACTCCCTCCGTCCCAAAAAGATTTACACCTTTAAAAAAATCCATCCCACAATCTCCTACTCATTTCTATTAAAAAACCACTTTTACCCTTCTTTTTCAAACCCTACCTATCACATCATACCTTTAGCCTAATAATCTACACATCACATCCTACTTTTACCCATCAGATCAAAGGTATTTTTGGAAAGTCAACACAAAATTATCACTCTCTTAATTTTAACTTTAGTCAAAACGTGTAAATCTTTTTGGGACGGAGGTAGTTTATATTAGTAAAAAAGTAATTTTATTAAATTTATGTTTATCAGAACTTTCACAGTTTTATTCTATTGTACTAATATGTAATACAAATTTAGAGTAATTAAAGCTCAAAGTTTGTCTTGTTTCACTTGAAAAAGTTTTATTTCTCTGTACTAATATGCATATTAATCTTTTAAAAATGGAATTCGTGTTTTTAATCCATCATGGTCTTTGTATTTTCAGAGTAAAATAGAGGCTACCTACTAAAAAAATAGTTTGAGGATAATTTATGAACGACGTAACGTTGTTGTTTATGTCTTCCATACCTTTTGGTGGAAAATTGTTTGGATAGTTGATGTTCCAACAAATGCATTGCCTTCTAATATAAATGCATCACTAATTCCACGATAATGCACAATAAGATAAACAAATGCAAACTATTCATTAAACTTTAACAACAATGCAACAACATATTACAGTGCATCTTGAATTCTCTGTGATGCATCAATTATCCCCGATTTTTGCATTCTAAGAATAACAAAAAAATTACAAATATCTATTTGAGAAATAATTGCCTATGTGGGATTCGAACTCACATCTGCAGTATATACCGCTCTACTATTTGAGCTAATAGGCAATAATTTATTTTTTCAAATAGATTCTCACATTGCACTTGGAGCTACTAAATATGAATTTTAACCTTTTAACAATGGCATTCATATATTTTTATCCATCATGGCCTTGACATTTTTTATTACATTTTTGTGTATGCTGTTTGTGTTTTCCCTAACTTTTGTTGGAAGTATTTTCCAACCCTTGGTAGAAAATTGACTGGATATTTGATGTTCCAACACATGCATTGTATGCTGACAAAATTGCATTAATTGTTCCCTGATAATGTACAATAAAGTAAACCAATGTCGACTGTTAATAAGCTTTAACAACATGTTACAATGCACCTTGAATTCTCTGTGATGCATCTTTTAGCTTCAAATTTTGTATTTTAAGAAATACAACAACAAAGTAATATCTATTCATGGAAAAAGGTGCTTCTAAATGCATAGTATATATAAACTCCAAAAAGTGATGCAGTGTATCAGAAAATAATTTAGACTGGAGATTGCAAGAGGATTATTTATAAGATTAACATGATTCAAAATAAATTTGTAATAAAAAAATTAATAGATTTAAAAAGAATGGTAGATTAAAAAATTGGTTTAATACTCGCGTATAACATTGAAAACTAGTTTTTATTAAGAAAATTATATATAAATAGCCTACCCAAAACAAGAGTTCTAAACAACATTTATGCGAGTAAAAAAATTTGTCCTATTTCAAAAATGGATTTGTTGCCTTCTTGTTGAACTTTAACAACAACAGAACCACAAGAAGAAGCTCACTATAATCCCAACTATATTTGGTCCTTGGGGGGGGGGTGAAAATATTTGCATCTTTAACCCTGCAAACAAAACATAGAGACCAATTGCAACAAGCAACATCAACAAGATCATATCAATTGAAGCCATACAACAGCAATCAAACAACCTGCATGCATTACTAACAAGTTGCATCACCTAAAGTAAAAATGTTTGCATCACCTACCTACAAAGTAGTTTTAAAAATATGTATGCAACAACCAGTTGGGATGAAGTACTATACAGCCTGCATGAACTACTAACAAGTTG